CCGAAGCCTTGCAACAATGCCCAACATTACAGTACATGGGCACCAGCACAGGAATTGCACCAACACAAGAAATTGCTTCCTGTGAGGAAGGGACCTATAGGCCACTGGTCTTTCCTAAAATACTTTTTATTAATTTGATACGTTCTTGAGATATCAAAACACAACAGTCTGGATTCTTACATGGAATGCAGTGGAAGAAAAGCCCAAAAACTCAATATTACACCTTCAGATTGGGTACTGTTAAAACGTTTGTCATTGTATTTATTCCTATATTACCCCTAATTAGTAGTTTAAGCTTGTTAACAAGAACAATTCTTTTCATTTAAGGTAAACAAGAATTATCTTTCCATTGTATAGGTAAAACTTGTAAATAGGACAGCTCATAAATTCTAAGATGAGAGTAACTAGGAAACTATTCATTAAGGCTTGCGTTATAAATTCAAAACATGAAGCATAACATGTTTAAGGAAGACGGTTTATTTTTAAAAGCATTCATTAGGCTCTCATCTTCAAGCCTCAGACTTGTAAATAATTTAAAATGAAAATTTGAACAACAGGGAGGAAAAAAAACCTGCAATTCAAATCATTCCATTGTTATACCAATAAAACTGAAAACAATAGAAAAGAAGTTGGCAGATTTTGAAGACACTGCATCTTTGAACTTAGATATTATGCTAGCACTGGATTCAATCCAAAAAAAATTATCTCTGACTCGTAATAAGGAGATTGTTCCCAGTATAAGATACTAAAAATTACTAGTTTAGTATGTGTATTCATTGCATTTTATTCTGTTGCTGCCAAAGCAAACAAACAAGCTGCAGCTTATGGATGCTTTTGGATTTTTTATTTTTCCATGTTGACTTTTCATAAACGTATTTCCTACTCAACAATTTATCTTACATAAGGTCAGAACCCCTCCCCTTTAAGGAATAAGACCAGTTAGGCAAGATTTGCCTCACATGGGCAGTATGAAAAGAAACAACCTTTATTTCACAGGCTTTTTTTTTTTTTTTTTTTTCCTTAGAAGTGTTTTAGCTTCTGTTTTTGAACCATAGTCAAAACAGTAAAAATTCTGTTTATAAACATTTAAAATTATTGGGATGTGCAGAACGTGCCTCCTCTCTCTCTGAAAATTTGCCACATGCAGTCCAGGTTATCTTCCATTACGTGTCTTATGTTAGAATATATAGACTCCTAGATGTATCACTGAGGTTATTTTTTAAAGAAGGTTAAATGCTAAAGTAACAGGAAATTAGATTATAAAGACAGAGTTTTTAGGGATAAGCAGGATGATTAAAAACATCTGATGTGGTAGTAAGAAATCAGTTTGGAGACTTCCAACTCTCTGGCATATCCATTTAGATCCTAAACTCAAGTTGAGAGTGGACACAAGCTAGGCCAGAGATTAAATGGACTTTACCTCCAGAGTCTCAAATCCCATGTCAATATACCCCTCCAGAAGGTGTGTTACAAACTAAGGAACTAGGAGAGAGTAATTTTTCCTTTAATGAATTTCTGGAGTTTCCTATCCTTCTCCCAAGAACTGGGGATAATTCATCTTTAAGATAACGTATTATTGCAACATTCAGTGGATGCTAAGCATGCAACAGGAATTCCTTTGTTAGTATAATACAGTACATGGAACAGCAAAATTCTGAAGTGCTGTGTTTCCATGCTGTGTTTTGCAAGGAGAAAGGTTCACATGCCAGGCAGTATACGTGTGTAAGTGAGCCATGCTGCTCAGAAGTGTTGAGCTTCCTGGCCACATGCTGCACAGTATGCACATGCACCAGTAAATCACGTGCAGGCACAGCCCACATGCAGTAAACCCGGGCGCTTCTAGCAAGCTCTGGGCTTACTTCACGCTTTATTCCAAACCTGCCGAAAAGAAGTAGAGACCCCATGCAGCATACGAGCAGCACATCTGAGGCTGCCTCACAGGAGCTGAGACAGCTAAGTCATCCCTGCTCACGCTTTCCCTTCAGACAAGTGGATGATACCAGCGTGTTACATATCATCTTTACAGACAAAGTAGGTACACTTCCTCTTGACAAAAGTATGTCTTAAAATCAACCAAGCATGGTTGGTATCTCACATGTTTACAGCAAATGTAGATACGTCCCTGACTTACCAAAAGCTAACAAACCAACCAACTCAACCACTAACCCACACAAAATGGAAATGAGGCAGGCCACAAAAGCTTCCAGAGGAAGCCCAAACTTACACAAAAATCTTTAAAAAAAAAAAAAAAAAAAAGATGACTTTGTTATTGCAAAAGAGTGTCTGAAAATATAGGTACAAAGATTTAACTGTGTTACTGTTTGGATAATGATTTTTTGTTACACCTTGTAACTGCAGTGAGTTTTAACAATCAAAGATAGTGGATAAACACAAGAGGGAACTTTCTTCTTGACTATAAATACCAGAAATACCAGACTGGAAAGCAACTATATGTATATTTGTAAGCAAAACAGTAATCTAGAAGTGTTTACACCTAGATCAGGAACCCTTAGAGACGGAAATACTGTATACTCTTAGTCCTCCAAGTGCCTCCTCCTTGGCCATTTCATATGCCACACACACAAACTTGTATTTTTTGGACCTAGAAAAACAGAGACAATTAAAATGTACGCCTTTAAACAAACAAACCAAGAACATCTGCAACCTCCTATCCCAGATAACATAACCCATATGGTTACAGACAGTATTGCAGTAGCAGGCCAGGCTACTGAGAGAAAAGGTCAGCCTGCTGTAGAATAAACAGCAAAAAACCATCAACAACTGTTAAAGTAGGATTGGAAAGCAGTCATGAGTCATGCAAATAAGCATTTTGCTTTTGGAACATCACCACTGCCTTTTTCTAAATGGCAGTAGGTTTACTTCTCTGTAAAGAAGCATATGAATTTGCTTGCATTTACTGGTAATTTTTATTTTTCTACTGAGGAAAGAAGGTAACTAGAGGTTGTTTTAGTTTAAAGCTATAGATTATTGTTTTTTAACAAGTTTAGGATGCAACCTTCTTTAGTCTTCATGTGCTGAAGAACCAGAATGACATATATTAAGAAAAACCCCTGTACATTTAACGTACATACATAGAATGGGTTATACACTTTTCAGTAATTACAGAAACTTCTCCGGCAGATGGCAGAAACAGCACCAGCTGGAAACAGGATCACCAGAAATGGTAGCTTCAGAGTAGCAAGACAGGTATAGTTCCTTTATTTTAAAAACACGATTTCCTCCCACAAAGCAAAGGAAGCCTTTGGAATTTCTCCAGCAATAATCTAGAGATGACAAGAACAACGTCTTTGCACATTTTGTTTCTTAACTAGTTTTCTACACATACGTTAATAAGTACTTTGAATTTGTATCTTAGCACAGGCACAAAAAGTGACAGGTTTAGAAGAGAAATCAGTAGTTATTTAAACTTTTGGAAACTTTTATTTAGTGCTGAAATAAAGTTCATTGCAAATGCAGACAGACCAAACCACAAGGATTAAACCACTCTACCATCAGAGAGATGTCACATCAAAACTTGGACGCCCTGTACCAGACTTGAGGGTTTGCTGTGCAAACCTCCGGTGCAGTCCTACTCCTAATCTGTTCTCCCAAAGACATCTAGGGTTAATGCTGACTTTCATTAGCACTGAACATCACGAATGAGGCATACTGCTTTTTTGTTACGCATTTTTGTGGTCACCAAGAACTGCTGTCATTTGTTTTGCTCGTTCCAGTCAGGTCATTTCCAGTGGGAAGCAATACTCTTAAGCCTGTGCTATAGGCAAGCTGCATCCTGTGTAGTGCACTCACCCAGTACTGCTGCTGCCTAAAAATGGCAAGGCCAACACAAAGCAATACCCTTCGAGTGCAGAATAACTAAGAGTGCTTAGCTGGTTGGCTGTTGACTTGTCAAAATGAAAGTACTGTTTTCCATTTGAACCTTTTATATTAAAACAGAAGAGCAGAGGCTACTAGGTCTAGTAGCTGTCTTGAGGACAACTCAACAGTTACTCTTCTACTACTACCATAACCCTTTTAAAAAAGTCTCTGAAACAATAAGAGCCAGTCTCATTAGTTGAATTAGGTTGTCATGTCTTTCACCCTGCTCCTTTTTTTGGGGGGTGATGTACACGTTTCAAAGAGATACACTCTCCTCCAAGACGTGCAATCTAAGAAGTGAATATACAGTAACTTTAATACGCACCATAATAATAGAGCATTTGAATGAATGACTAGACCAGACATAACTTCAACCTCTTTTATTTGAGTGACGGATCATCCAATGCAAGCTTTTTGTCTCCTCAAAAGAGAGAGAATATTTAAATCTTAAACCATATAGGAAATTAAAACGTAGGATCTGCTCAGTAATCTCAATTCTGCCATTTGTCATGCATTGATTTGTCCATAAACTTTATCCATAAACTGTCCATAATCTCATGCACAAAAACACAAGACTACATACTCAAAAGATCAAAAAACAATTAAGAAATGCAAAGTTATGTTTTTCTTAATGTTAGACATGCTAACACAAAAATGCTGCTCTTCATTATGAAAGGTTTCAATGGATTACTGAGTGAAATCCATTCTATCCATACTCCTTTTCCAAATATTTTTTCTATAAAAGGAGGCAACAAAGCTTAAGTTTTAGAAAGTTTCCAACACAGAAAACTTTCACACAAATAAATTAGAAATTATTGATACCATTAAAATACAGTATTTCCTGAAGAAAAATGATAGTAAGGGATTGGCTCAGTGTTTTAACTCAGGTCGTTTGAATTACATTTCCCAAAATGCTAATAAAACTGACATGTTTGAACATACTGAAAAAGTCACACTCCATCACTGTGCTGTCACATCAGTGCATTTGACTTTTTTTAAAAAAATGTATGGATTATACAATTACTGCCAGGCTCCATATATTATACATAAAAGCTACAATCTGATTATATGTCTGTGTTGAAATAATTTATGAAATAAGGGTGGAATGACTGTAATGTTACCTCTATGATGAATGTAACTTGCTATGAACAGTCTAGGAGATTGCAGGAGAGACCAAACTGAAGCCTGTAATTGTCTTCATCTTTCATGAAGAGGTGTGACCTGGGGAAAACATAGATCCCAACATCTAAAGCTCCAGCCTCATGCAAACATCTTTGATTACTCAAGTTTTGATACAGGATTGGAAAAAGAAAATTTATAGTCTTTACAGGCCACACCTTGAGATTATTAAGGTAAGAATCAGAGCAAATTGCATCCACTGTTTAAATGATATGTTAGTCTATTATTGTTTTCCACCACCAGCAAATCACACTTGCTACCGCTACCCTTGCGATTTTGGAATCCCATTATTTATTACTCTCTAGGTGTTACCATCATACTTTGTATGATAGATACATGAAAAACACAAGGTCTTAAAAGTCTACATCAAGACAACTACTTGAAGGTGGAAACAAAGGGATAGGCAAAAACAGCGAGAATTTTGAGATCACCAGTAATTACAGCACACAGCTCACAATTTAAACGCTTTTTCCCTTTCCTTTCTTCTTTACTAGCACAAGAGTTTAAGAGGAACATTGAGGTTCAGAGGCCCTATCAATTATGTGAAGGTGCATCACGAAGCTTACCTAACAAATCAGATTAAACAAGTTATTCTCTTTTCCCAAAACGGCTACCTAAAATATGTTGCTTTGCTCACCTGAACAAATTTTCTAGTGCAGAGGCACCTCTCTTCAAAATTATGAAAAAGCTGCTATGCTATTTATGTGAAATTGCTTTTCTTACTCTACTCTGACAGGCCCCAAAAGCACGTTGAAAATCACAAGGTCGTATGGAGCAACTGAGACTCAGAGACCAATCTGTTTGATGATTTAAGCAGAATAAAGTGAAAATGGCTACGCTTATTTTTATTACTTGGAAGAACTGTTTAAAATGCTCCTGCAGGAAGAACTATTTGCATGCACTGTCACCCACTCTCAATAATACAGGTTTTTAGGCTCATCTATGCTTAAAACTAGGACAAACTTGGGGGAAAAATAAAGGAAAATATTTTCTGAAGCAGTGCAGCTCAAACACGCACAAAACCAAAAAACAAACAAAAATCAAACAAAAAACCACACACGCCATCCTGCCTACAAGGTTTCAGCCCCAAACGGCGGCCTGGCAGGCCCACGGCCAGGCCCATCACACCGAGGCA